TGTTTGGTGAGTGTTTGGTGAGTGTTTGGTGAGTGTTTGGTGAGTGTGTTCTTCTTCACTTTCTTCTTCACAACCGGCACGTTTCTAGCGCAAAGATTCTGCCAGTATAAACCTGACTGATTGCTTTTGAAATCCTTGACAGTGAGATTTGCTTTTGTTTAAAGAATGAGTAATTTGAAAGAAAGGGAGGTAAAAAGCCAATATCAGTGGATGATCACATTACTGAGTGGACCAGGTTTTAGCTACTTTTGGTCTCTCAAAATTATACTCTGAAGCAAAACATCATTTCTAGCACGGAATTGTATGGTTAGGCAGTGACAAAGTATACATTCCTGGCTTGAATGTCTAAATACAAACATTTTCACAAATGGCTTTTCTATTTTGTGGTCTCTCCAAATTCTGTTTGTGAGTGGTTGTTATTATTTGCTGTGGAAGTTTTGAAGTTTAAAATGAAAAATGAGAACGCTGTGATTGTAGGTGCTTTGAAGTACAATAGAGTTCGAGTACAGTACTCTGTTTGCTGTAGAAGCAAAGCAGTAGCTTGTAGTTTCATGTTTTTATCCTTTTTCTCCCCTCAAGGTCCTCCTGTGTGGAATGCAGGAAATTGATTTAAATGACTGGCAGAGGCATACCATCTACAGGCATTATACCAGAACCAGCAGACAGATACTGTGGTTCTGGCAGGTTTGTAGACTGCTTTTTTCCTCAGAAGAGCACAGCAACAGCTTAGTGAGCAACAGTCAGAATTACTCAACAGATTTGTAGTGTGTAAATATAAATTATTGCTGCTAATCCAGCTATTCTAGGGTTGATGATGAAGTGAAAATGTAAATACTAAATTTTACATCAATGTTAATTATTATTTTTCAGTTTGTAAAAGAAATAGATAACGAAAAGAGAATGAGACTTCTACAGTTCGTTACTGGAACATGCAGATTACCAGTGGGAGGATTTGCTGACCTCATGGGTAACAAGCCCTCTTCAATGTATTTTGTACTTCTATTAATTCCTTTCTTTAATAAGGACCAACCTGTATATGTAAGGATATTTTTTATGAATTTTTATTGACTCTTCTTCCTAAGTCTTGCATACTGCTAGAGCTGTGACAGAAAAAGGGACGGGGGAGTGTTAACGCCTTCCATCAGGGATTTGACAGATGGTTTGGACGTGGTCCTGGTAGGACAGCCTGCTCTGGGTATCCCTGCCTGATCGGAGTGGAAGGACTAGGAAAAGTCCAGAGATTCCTTCCAGTACCAAAGCAATTATGTGATTCAGTGATTGAGTTTCTTTCAGAACCACTTCATATTTCTGTGTTTGGCTACGTGGGTTTCTTCAGAGAGATGTAGGGAAAGGCAGATGTCTTTGGTCTCTGCAAGTAGTTAAAATCTTGCTTTCTCTTCAAGCCTTTCACACTCAGTTGTCATGTATTACTACTGATACAGGTAGGCAGCTAGACCTGAGACTTAATTATTTGGGTTTTTTACAGGGAGCAATGGACCCCAAAAATTTTGTATTGAGAAAGTTGGGAAGGAAAACTGGTTACCTAGAAGTCACACCTGGTAAGTACATAGGATAAAATTCTGTTATGGTTCTGTTTTTACTGATGACAATCTACTTTGAGATTTTAGAAAGTGGGTAATATATGAAAGTGGCTGAGATTGTGTGAAAGCCAAACACTGGGTTATGCCAGTAAGCTTTGTTGAATAATAGTTGAACTTCTGAAAAACAGTTTTGTTGTGGAGCTGACTCCATTGTGAATGCCATGGATTTGCACACTACTGAAAAGAAAAAATGTCGTAAGTAGCACTTTTTTCCCAGGAGTTTGGGATTGGTCTATCTTGGCATTGAAAACAAATAGGCACACTCGTGCTCCCTCTTCGCTAGAGAAATTGCAGCTTCTGCTCAGTTTCTCAGTTACACTGGTGCTTTGTGAAAAAGCTCAAATTTTAAATTTCAAATACAAAAGAGAGATGAAGTGAGGCTTCTTACGAAGTGCATCACCGTTTCTGGAAAATTATTGTTAGAGTGCTTGTGCTTTAACTCTACTTTCACAGATAAATGCACATGAAGGTACAGCTGTGTTAGAGGGTATAAATCCAGTTATCCCTCTAAACAGGAAAGTTGATATGCCTGTGTTCCTAATGGATTTTTGGTGGTTTAAATAATTCCACAATAATTAAGGTTTTCCTTTGTTTTCAGTTTCAATCGCCTAGACCTTCCACCCTATAAGAATTACGAGCAGTTGAAGGAGAAGCTGTTATTTGCAATTGAAGAAACAGAAGGATTTGGACAGGAATAGCTGTGATTTGCACCTTGAAGAATGTGAACTCCACACGATGTTCTTCTTCACTTCTTCTGCTTGTTGCACACTTCATTGTAAAGTAGACTTGACTTGGATTTATTTAACAACACTAGTGTGTAAGTCAATGGATGTTATCCTGAGGTTTTATCCACATTAACTCTGGATTTCTACTGAGCACTTTCAGAAATCAAAAGAGCGATCAGATATGGCTATCAAGGAGTTATGACCCAAGTAGAGATTTAATACAGCTTTGCGCTCTGCTTTGTTTTACCTTTCATTACTTAGAATGTGTCCTTAATGACTGACAGGTTTTTTAAAATAGTTTTGTCTTTCCTTTTTAGTAGCATATTTTGCTACTGATGTACTGGGAAGTTCATTAGTAGCTGCAATGCTGCAGCAACATCATAACCTCTTTACAGCAGTGTTATTAGGCCGACTTGTGACCGTCCTCTGCCTACTGTGAGCAAATTCATCGCTTAAGCTATTTTTTTAACTCAAGTGTGGCTGGACTGTTTTTCCTTGCCCGGAGTCTGCTCACGTGCCAGTGGGACTCAGACTGCTGTTAAGGGGATGTCAAACTGTGGCACAAATCCAGGGCGTAGCTTTGTTTTGTTTTTCTCACAGTCTTGTGAATTTCAGCAAAATAAACGTCTGCCCAAAGTTGCTGGAACGTTTGCTTGTGCCCTCCGAAGAGTTCTGATCTTTTTCTGTGTAACACATCTAACCTCTACAACTGTGTTAACGCTGTGGTTCTTCCCTTGTTTTGCAAAAGACGAGACCGCCTGGGATTGCACTGATTCAATGTAGATTCCCATTTGCAGACTGATGTTTCTTGTGGGAAGTGTTAATGGACATTATACTCAGTGTTATTCTTCCATGTTGCAGTCAGTTTTCTCTGAAGACTTTGTTGGTTTCTCAGGAAGAGGTACAAAATAGCTGGATTTTAAAAATGATAATACTTATCATTTTTGGTGAGGAACTGATAATGCCACATTAGCTAAGATCAGAGGACTTGGAAGTTTATACACGGATTCCAGACTTTTGACGTGTTGGAGCATCAGAAAACAGTTCTATAAAGATTAGAACAAGTTCTTGGGGAAGATTTCTGTGCTAGGTCACCCTAAGCTGCTCACACAGCTAGTAACTTTTGTAATAAGTCCTTACTGGATTTATAGCATGTTTTGCTTCCTTTTCGAATCTGTTAATATTCAGTTCTCTTCTGGTTTACAGTGACATTTTATTGCTCCTTTAGACTGAATGCACTTTTCAGGTATGGTCAGCTCCTTCCTTATCTGAAGGGAGGAAAGGAAACGTCTGTGAGTCGATGTGGCTGTTAGCCGTAGTCAGAAACGTGGCTCTTGAAGTAGCACAGGTTAAAGCATAACTGTAGCTCAGAGCACTGGGACAGCAGCAGCTGTTCTGAAGAGGCTTCTTATGCTGGAGCTGAACCAGGACAACGGGAAACCAGAACCGAATCTCCAGTCTTGAAGAGAGCATTTCCTTCCTTCTGTCTGAACTGCCAGAGGGAAAATCTGATTCAGGCCTTTTAAGAACCAAGGCATTACAGTTTTAACTGACCTTCTGAAAGAGATTTTCAAGTTGAAGTGATACGTGCTCACTGGAAATAAGAATAATAAGACCTTAGAGAAAATGCCTCCTTTTTTCATGTGTATTCTAGCAAGAGCAGTGGGAAAGAGTTTCTGATGATCCAGGGATTATCCTCTTTCACCTTTTCACTGGCGGTGAAAGCTAGCCTTGCTTCACAGTTTTACTAGGAGGAAAATATGCCAATTTCAAGACATTTGATGGCTATTTTACCATATACAGCTCACAAGGAGAAGAAAAAAGCCTTATAAATAATCTGTTTATATTAATTCTTACAGTGAAATCTAGTTATCTAACATATTTACAAGAGAGATTGAATTAAACAGGATAATGCAAAATTAAGCTACGAAACATAGTTTGTGTTCTGCATAATGATTTATGATTCATGTAGGGAAGCTAGAAATGTTGGTAATGTATAAATATCACCCAAAAGGCTTTCAGCCCTATATTTTTAAAATAAAAAATAGTTATAATTGAAATAGCTTAGCCCTAGTTCTATAGGGTATGGCTGTTTGATATTTTTATGGTTGAAATGTTTAGTTCAGGAAAAAGGTAAATGCTTGTATATATTTTTGCAGTCTCGGATTCCACTTGCTCCATTTTTTCTTTCTTTAATTTAAGTGGCATGTTTGTGTCTTTCCTGCTGTATTAGGATGGGGAGAGGGGGCTGGATATCCCAAGCACCAGAAATGATTTTAGAATACTACAAACAAAGAATCAGCTGGGAGAAAAAGTCTGTGAAACATTGTATTTGGCCAATAATTAAAGTAAGCTAGTACTAGCTTGATGAATTGGCAATGTTCTTCAAGTCTGAGCTAAAGTTTACGTAAACCTTTTACTTTGTAAGCTAACAAGCCTGTTAATTTTTTATAGCGTGTTCTGTAGAAATAAAAAGTTGTCAATATGAACCAGCGGTGCACTTTTCTGTTCTTTATGGGGATGTGGTGGAAACATCACGTGGATGACCCACAGCATCTGCTATCCCACATAACATTGGGCTTCCAGCAGAGGTGAATGAATTTGTCTCCCACTGCTCCTCCCACCACTGCTTGAGCAGCCTGAGCTGTGTGAATTGATACTGCATAACAAATGCGTGCTCATATGTAGCTGCCAATTAATCCTAATTTTCAAGCATTAAAATAACTTCTATTTAGAATTTTGCCTTATGAGAATGACATGAAAAAATGAACGGAATGCTGAGCTGCTGATCTAAAGTAACAAAGCCTTATTGCTCCAGTAGCTCAGGAAGCGTTTGTGTATGAAACTGCGCAGTAAATGCGCTGTGTCTTCATCTGATCTAGCACTGAAGCTTGTATTTTAATGCATTTATTTGTGTTCCAGAAAAAGAAAAAAAAACTGAACAAAAAAAACTGTTTCATTTTTCTTGTTTGCGTTACCACTACATGCTGCACTGAATTTGTGATTTCAACTCTTTGTTATATTGGTATCTCCAGCCCCCTTTCTTGCGGGTGTCTTTTTCATTTTCTTCAAGAATCATTGTTTGTGTATATATGCTCTAGTGAACTAGGACATAAACTGGGATCAGCAGCACTGGATTGTAAAATACTGTACTGAAATTCATTGTCGAAATTTCCTTGTATTGTAATTTCAAATACTCAGGTAACTGTAACAGTATCTCAGTAAGTCAAATACTTTTATAAAACGACTTAAAGAGATGGTAGTCCTGTTGTTGTTCCTTCTGTGTTACGAAGCAGCAGCGTAGAAATGAATGATTTAGCTGCTCCTGGGGCTTGGAAGTGGGCTGGGATGGCACGTTTTCAGATTTTGCCTCATGGGGACGTGAGCGGGCGTTGGGCCCGAGCCCACTGCTGTTTGTCACAGCACAGGGGCTGTGGGGGACGCCGGCAGCGCAGAGCAGGGAAAGCCGGGCTGTGCGTTGGCATGAAATCTTCCCTCTGCACAAACGTAGCTGCTGAGGTTTTCCCCCAGGTCTTTGTGTGCTTGGATAATAAGGCTCTGCAGCAAAAGCAGCCGGGCACTCCTGATACTTGGGGCTCGGGAAAGGGCCACAAGAAGAGGGGTGGCCAGCAGGGGCAGGGAGGTGATCGCCCCCCTCCCCTCTGCTCTTGTGAGGCCCCATCTGCAGTGCTGCGTCCAGGTCTGGAGCCCCAGTACGAGAAAGACAGAGAGGAGAGCCACAGAGATGAGCAGGGGACTGGAGCAGCTCCCTACAAAGACAGGCTGAGGGAGCTGGGCTTGTTCAGCCTGAGAAAAGAAGGCTATTGGGTGACCTCATTGCAGCCTTCAGTACCTAAAGGGAACCTACAAACAGGAGGGGAATCAACTCTTTGAAAGGGTTGGTAACAGCAGGACAAGGGGAAATGGTTTCAAGTTGAGGGAGGGAAGATTTAGGTTGGATATCAGGGGGAAATTCTTTACTATGAGAGCGGTGAGGTGCTGGAACAGCTGCCCAGAGAGGCTGTGGATGCCCCGTCCATCCCTGGAGGTGTTCAAAGCCGGGTTGGATGGGGCCCTGGGCAGCCAGGGCTGGTATGAAATGGGGAGGTTGGTGGCCCTGCGTGTGGCAGAGGGTTGGAGCTTCATGATCCTTGAGGTCCCTTCCAACCCTGGCCATTCTGTGATACTTGAGTGAAGGGGAAACCAAATCTGAGTCTGGTAAGAGCACAAAGCAATGAAATGCAGCACAAGTTATTTATTGCCTGCGTAGATGATCTTCTTGATGCAACTCCATTTCAGAGCTGGATAAAGAGCGTGGAGAGAAAGGGAAAGGAGGGGAGGAGAGGGCAAGGGAAGGGAAGGAAGGAAGAAAGGAAAGGAAAAGGGAACTGTGAAGGGGAAGAGAAGGAAGAGAAAAGGAAAGAAAAAGCCAAGAGAAGAAAGGAATAGAAAGGAAAAGAAAGGAAATGAAAAGAGAAGAGAAAGAAGGGAAAGGAAGGAGAAGGAGAGAAGGAGGAGGAGAAAAGTCGCCCGGCTCCGGCGCCATCCGAGAGGAATCCGGCCGCCGCCCCACTCCACCCCCAGGCCTCGGCCGCCCGCAGGCCGCCCTTAGCAACGTGACGCCGCAGGCGGTTGCTAGGGCCCGGACCGGAAGTGCTTCCTGCCGGCGGAGAGCACGTCCGGGGCAGCGCGGCGCGGGAGCGGTGAGCGGGACCGGGAGGAGCGGGCTCCGTGCCGGGAACCGGGTCGGGCCTCGGCGCGGGGGCATCGAGGGGCTGTCGGGGGAGGAGCTCGAGGCGCCGCCGGCAGCCAGAGACGGGTCCCGGCTCGCGGCTTTGCGGGCCGCGCGTCCTCGCGAGGGCTGCGGGTGCCGGAGCGCAGCCCGGGGCGAACGGGGCGGCTCCCGGGCGGCGGCAGCGCCGCGCTCCGTCGCGCGGTGGGAGCCGTCGCGCTGCGATCCGGTGCCGTCGCTCTTCGTTTGGGCGTGGCGGGGAAGCCGGCGTCTCGCTCGCTCTCGCTGAGCGTCGTTTGCGTGGCGGCGGTCCTTGGAGATGGCGGCGGGGAAGCGCGGGGCTCCGTCCGGATGGCGAGTTTGGCTTTTGGCCTTGCTCGGTGGAGTTTTGCTTTCGGCCCGGAGTGCGCCGGCAGGAGGCTGTGGATGGCGGGGCCTGATGGTGCGGCAAGGATGGCGACGGGCTCGTGTGGCTGCGGCGTCGGCCGGCCGGCCGGAAAAGCCTATCTGGAGGCTGATTCCTTTTCATTGCCTTTTCTGATGCGTTGTTGTGCGTTGGTGTTTCAGGTGTGTGAATGAGGACTCCCCGCTGGAATTTGTGCCGAGCAAAGCTGGACGAGGAGTGGATCCCCACGCCTGGTGCTCTGTTTGAGTGGGGGAGGAGCGGGCACGGCTGAAGGTTTGTCCCTGGCTCTGGATGTCAGTGAGCGGGACGAGTGCGGGCTGAAGTTCTGTGTGATTCTGTTTCTTGCTTGGGAAGGGCTGCCCTGATAGATTGGTGGGAGGGAGGGCGGGAGAGGGAGATGTCAAAGCAGTCAGGAGCGCGTGGCGTCTCTGCCCGCTTTGGTGGCGCTGTTCTTCGTCTTTGGGTGCACAGTGAGGCTGTGTCCAGCGTCCCGATTCAGAGGCAGGATTCGATCCAGTCACGGCCTATCCGTCCCAGGCAAACGCTTCTCTGAGCTGGTCCTCTGATACTGAAGGGGAAAAACAGGGATTTCTGGCAGAAAAAGCCATATTTATGGGAAAAAAAGCCAGATTTAATGGAAAAACAGGGATTTCTGGAAGCAAACCCCAGATTTAAGGGGAAAAACTGGCAGATAAAGCCATATCTCAAGGGGAAAACCCCATATATAAGGGGCAAAACAGGGATTTGTGGGAGAAAACCCCAGATTTAATGGGGACACAAGGATTTCTGGCAGAAAAAGCCATATTTAAGGGAAAAAACAGGGATTTCTAAGAGAAAAGGCCATATTTAAGGGGAAAACCCTAGATTTAAGGGGAAAAACAGCGATGTCTGGGAGAAAAACCCAGATTTAAAAGAGAAAATAAGGATTTCTAGCAGAAAAAGCCATATTTAAGGGGAAAAACCCCAGATTTAAGAAGAAATGGAAGCCGGGGCTTCTGTCTCCCCTCAGGCAGGCGCCATCAGGTCCACTCTGGAGCGCGCTGTTGTTTGCGCTGACCTCAGGAGATCCCTGAGCGTGCCCTGAGTGTTGTGTGCTGCGTGGCCCAGCCCCAGAAGGGAATTCCCACGTGGCAGGAGGGAGAGGATGAAGGAGGCCGAGGGCCCTTTTCTCGGGGCCGGCTCCTCTGTGGCCTCTTGCTTGCCGCAGAGAAGGGCTGCCCGCTGGGCACAGGGAGTGCCTTCTAGCTGCCGTCCCGTGCCCTGTCCTCCAGCCCCCTCCTCATGCTCTGTGGAACGCCATTGCCAGCAGTGCGGCTGCCATTTTAGAACCTTCGCCGCATCACAGCCGTCACCTTGGTCACCGCTGCCCCGGCCAACGCACTCGCTCTGAGAGCTCTGACAGCCATGGCTGGAGCGAAGAGAGCGAGGGGCGAAATTTGCCCTGTTTTAAATGGGAAGAGGGAGCTTGGCTTCCCAGAGGCGAAGAGGAGGAGGGGGGCCGCCTTTAAGATCAAGCGGAGGAGGGGGCAGAGAGTGCGTTTCCATCGCGCCTGGGCCAGCGCGGTGACCACCTCCGTGGAGCCCATGGAGGTGGATCCACCTCCGGATGAGCCCATGGAGGTGGATCCACCTGCAGATGAGCCCATGGAGGTGGATCCGCCTGCGGCACAGCTGGCCTGGCACCACACCACCGTGCCAGGCCCCGCATTGGCGATGTCCCAGCTCCACCGTCGCTGGTCCAGGCGCTCGGCTCCCTACCCGCTGCGCGGCCCCCGCCCCCAGCATTAGCTGGGTGGCATTAGTTTCCATCAGCTCCTCCTCCGAGCCTCCTGTGGAGCCAAGTTCTCCTCTTCCCATTTAAAAGCTGCGGGAGTTATAGTTTAGGTGTTGTTGTTGATTTTAGTGTTAGTGTTAGTGTTAGGTTATTGTTCGTATTTTAGAGTTAGGCGTAGGTTACTTTTAGCATTTTATTGTTAGGCATAGGTTCCTGTTCTTGAGTTAGGCATAGGTTACTTGTAGTCTTTTAGTGTTAGGCGTAGGTTCCTGTTCTTGAGTTAGAGTTAGGCATAGGTTACTTGTAGTCTTTTAGTGTTAGGCATAGGTTCCTGTTCATACTTGACAGTTAGGGGTAGATTGCTCCTGTCAAGTGGCAGTGAGCAGCGCTCACTCGGTAAGCACACGCCTGATTGATCATCCGAAGACATGAGTGCGAGTGCCGTGAGCACGGAGGCCCGATGGCATCTTGGATGGATTGAATTTCCAGCTTGTGACTTTTGTGTTGCAGACCGTCGAGGAGCAGAGTGTGAGTGGCTGCGCCATTGCGTTGGGCCTCAGGAGAGCAGTGTGTGACTGTGTGTCGAGCATCCTGCGTGGCCGTTGCCAGGTAGGTGTGCCTTCCTTTGCAGTAAGCAGTGCTTAGGCGTGAGCCCAGCTCCTCCCCCTGTCCTCAGCAGATGGGCTTTCTGCGTGCTTTCTTGCTGTGCTTGGTGCCGTACGGCACAGCAGCAGCAAGGCCGCGAACACGTACGTACCCAGGTAGATGCAAATGTGCAAGTGATGGGATTAATCCTATTGTTGTTAGTGTTACTGAGACAGTGGTCGTGCGTGTGTGATCAAGCTCAGGGAGAAGTTGATTCTTGCCTGTTCAGCTCTTGCTGACATGCAAGTTTGGCGTCCCTCCTTGTGGTTGGGTCGGAAGACCAAGGCTATCTTGAGAGCACGTCTCTGAGTCAGGCTGGGAGTTTTTGCTAGCAGGAAGTCACAGCGTCGGAGCGCACGAATGGAATGATGGCTCTCGTTTCCCCCTTGTAGAAAGCAGCCTCCTGGAGAGCAGCAGAGCAGCAGGCTGTCTGCGCTATGGCCGCTGAAGTGCATTTCTCGGCCCCTGAGATCCCTGAGCCCACGCTGATGGAGAACGTGCTGCGCTACGGCCTCTTCTTTGGAGCCGTTTTCCAGCTTGTGTGCGTGTTGGCCATAATGCTGCCAGTTCCCAAGTGCCCAGAGACAGTAAGTAGCGCTCTGTTTGGTAGAGGTTGATAGAAATGCTGAGGAAATGGGCTGGGAGGGAAGCAGCTGGAGCCGTTGCCTACGGTAGCGCGCCGCGGCATTGCTGAGAGTGCGGCAGTTTGTTCTGTCCTTCCTTGGGCGTGCGTGCTGTTGCTGGTGGCACGCAAGGAGCCCGGAGGTGCAAGCTCATCTTCTCGTCGTGCTGCTGCTGCTGCTGCTTCTGTGGCCTGTGAGTGGCAGGCAGGGCGTCCCCCTGTGCAGGGACTGCCTTGCAGGCAAGGCCTGTAGACTGTAGCTTCCGCGGGATTTTTGGGAACAAGAGAGAGGTGGAGTTTCTGTTGTGCCCTGATGTCAGGAAGGCAATGTGCAGCACTGGCACCCAAAGCTGCCCAGTCAGGTGACTTGGGCTCCCAAAGCGAGCTGTCAGGCAATTGTCAGAAAGTTCCCTGACTGTTTGTGAATTGATTCCTGCAGGACTCGGACGGCTTGGAGTCTAAGACTTGGGAGACGGTGAAGAAACCAAAGGCAAGTGCTGCACAGCTGAGCAAGAAAGCCAAGAAGGAAAGCAAAAAGAAACGGTGAGGGCTTGAGCGATACGCCTCAAAGGCCAAAGGGAGCAGCGGGAATGCTTGGTGAGAGGTGCTCCAAAGGCAGCGCACTGCACGTCTGGTTTTGTGGCGTGGCCGTGCTTTCCCTTGCACGGACATTGGAGAGGAACTGAGGAAGCTGGAAGGGCTTCTGATGCGTGACCAACAAATCGGACTTTGCCTGTGTGGGATTTCATGTCTGGCAAGAGCTGGGGACGCTGCATTCCTTGAGGGTCCTTCAGCTCGATAGCTGTTTCAGAATGTTGATGATGAGGTGAACTTAGCGCATGTCGCTGGTCATGAGCGGTGTCCAGTCTATTTTATTTTCTGATGACATATCTACAACATGCAACCCAAATCCCTTAGTTTAAAATAAAAGGGAAAGAAACCTTTTCAACCTGGTGCTGCCTCTTTCAGTAGCTGGTCAAAACATGCCTGGCTTGGGCTGGCAGTGGCAGGGCGATGAACCGGCCGGCTTCACGTCCCTCCCCGGAGATGGAGCTGCTTTTCCCGCGTTTCCATGTTGGTCTTCCCAAGTGGTGGCCTTTCAGCCAAAGCGTAAGTGCTGGCGAAGAGTGTGAGCATCAGCTTGCTCTGTGAGGAGTGAGAGAAACAAAAGGAGAGGAAGCAGCGCGCGAGGAAGAAAGGTGTCCCTGCACTCAGCCCCTTGAGCTTGTCTCTCCAGCTTGCCTGGTGGCTTTTCCAGCCTTGTGTAGCACTGACTGTTCCTGCTTGCCCTGGGAAGGCCAGCTGCACCTGCGGGCAGCCGTGGCCTGCACGTCAGCCTCCCGTTGAGCCGCGAGGAGTTCAAGTGCGGGTGGGCTGGTGTGAAGAGCAGCGCTGGGAGTGGGGCAGGAGGAGAGGGCAGCGGGAGGGCTGCAGGTGAGCGCGCCTGGGGCCCAGAGCTCAGGCGTGAGCCGGGAGGGCAGCGAGCCGTGCTGCGCTGCTTCAGCTGCAATGGCTTCGAGCGCGTCATGGGCAGCGGCGCGTGTGGAGCGTCTGGGTGCTGCGAGGGCACCTTGCTGAGCCGGAGCCCGAGAGAGGGGAGGAGAGGAGAGCAGAGGCTGCACGTCAAGAGGGTCTGCCTGCCATTTTGGATTGGCGCGTCGGCGTCTTCCTCCTTCCACGAAGGAGCCGGCACGGTGCACTGGGTCCAGCGTGCTACACGGCACTGCCTTCTGCTGCCTGCCTGCCTGCCCGCCTGCCTGCTGCACTGCTGGAGAGGAAAGAGCGGATTGTGGGGCTGCGTGCAGCCAAGGAGCTGGCTGCAAAGGAGGGAAACGGAGTATTGAGGAGCGGTTAGTGCGTGTTAGGTTTGGGTGTGGATGCAGCGGGGGCTGAGCGAGCTCCATCAGCTCCTCGGGGCTGGGGCCGAGCCCGGTGCGTGGGGCTGCGCTGCGGGCAGGAGGGCTGCGGGGCTGGGGCAGTGGTGTGGGTGCAGCACATGGGGCCGTGAGAGGGCGTGCAGCACGGAGGGCGTTGGGCCCGAGCCGCGCTCGTGTTTGTCGCAGCACAGGGGCTGCAGGGGATGGCAGGAGCGCAGAGCAGAGCGGGGAGAGCCGGGCTGTATGAAGGCCAGGGCATGAAGTCTTCCCTTGGCAGCTACGGGGCTGCTGAGCTTTTCCCCCAAGTCTTCAGCCTGTGGGGTGATAAGGCTCCGCAGCAAAGCCAGCCGGGCCCTCCTGATACTTGGGGCTTAGGAAAGGGCAAAACAAATCAGAGTCTTTCAAGAGCACAAAGCAGTGAAGCACAGCACAAGCCATTTATTGTCAGCGTAGGTGATCTTCTCCAGGCATGTCCATTGGAGATGTGCAGACTGAGTGTGGACAGAAAGCAAATGGAAGGGGAGGGGACGGGATGAAAGTAAGAAATGAAAGGAAAGAGCAAGGGAAATGTGAAGGGGAAGAGAGAAAGAGAAAAGGAAAGGAAAAGAGGAGCAAGGAAAAGAAAAGCAAGGCAAAGGAAAGCAAAAGCGGGAAAAGGGGAAAGGCAGAAAAGGAGAAGGCAAGCTGCATGCCGCCAGCGCCACCCGAGGGGAATCCGGCAGCGGACCCCCCCAGCTGCCCCGTCCCCCTCCTCCAGGCCCCGGGCCGCCCCCAGGCCGCCCTCAGCAACGTGACGCCGCAGGCGGTTGGTAGGGCCGGGGCAGGAAGTGGTTCCTGCCGGCGGAGAGCACTTCCGGGGCAGCGCGGCATGGCGGCGCCGAGCCGGTGAGCGGGGCCGGGAGGAGCGGGCTGTGTGCTGGGAGCGGGGTCGGGCCTCGGTGCGGGGGCATGGAGGGGCGCTCGGGGGAGGAGCTGGCGGTGCTGCCGGCACGCAGAGGCGATGCGTGCGGCGCCGCCGAGTGCTGCGGGGTCGGGGGGCAGCTTCCTCTCAGGGAAGGCCGTGCGAGTGCGGAGCTGTGTTGGTGTTTCGGGTGCGTGAAGGAGGAGGCCCCGCAGGGCCTAGTTGTCGCCAGCAAAGCCCGGGCGGGCAGTGGAGCAAGGCGCCTGGGCGCTGTGTTGGCCGGAGGGTGCGGAGCTGGCAGAAGGTTTGTGAAGATGTGCTTGGTCTGGACGTCCCTTGTCGGGACGAGTCAGGGCTGCAGTTGTGTGTGATTGTGTTTGTTGCTTGGGAGAACTGCTGCCTTAGTAGAGTGGGGGGGAGGGAGAGGGAGATTTTCAGAGTGCCATCAGTCAGGAGCACGGCACGTTTCTGCCTGCTTTGCTCATGCTGTTGTGTGGGTCCCCGCGAAGCATCGGTGAGCCAGGGTGGCCCGGTGTGTGTGTGCCAGCATTGTGCGCGGCTGTGGAATGGAGTCAGAGTGATGGTAGTGAAAATGCAGCTGGCGGTATTGATTGTAGGGAATGGTTGAATCCCGAGCCGTGAGGCGCAAGAAGAGGCGCTGGATGCTAAGGTGGAAAGCGGAGCTTGTGTGTGCCAGGAGGCAGGCGTAGTCAGGTGCGCTTTGGAGCCTGCTGTTGTTGGCGCTGGGCTCGGGAGGCCCCTGAACATGGCGCTGTGTGCTGCGTGTCCCAGCCCCAACAGATTGCCGTGTGGAAGCAGGGAGAGGATGAAGGAGGCCGAGGGCCCTTTTCTCGGGGCCGGCTC